TTTTTTTTTTTTTTTATTATTCTCCCACTTCTCGCCCCATCTAATTCATCTCAGACAATTACAACATCAAAATATCTTGAGGTGATGCGCGGAAACGCAAGTCCCTTAAATCGAAGAGGCAGTTAAGGATATACTCATAGAACATCATTTTCTCCGGATATCGTCATCGCGTCCCTTTACGTCGGCAATTACGCAGCTCGACGTATATATTTTAACTCGTGTGCTCGTGTGTTTCAAAGTATGTAGACATCGATAGGTGTGTCAGTAGTGTGGAGTAGATTCATTGCGATGCAAATTGATTGTCGTGTGCGATCTCGTAAAAATAACGTAATACATGTATATTCCGTACAAATGTGAATTACTTTATTCAAATGTATCGTTTGACAAAATTTTGGGTACAGAACGAATCGCTACGACGGGGATACTGCGCTAAGCCAGACGGAAAGTCTCATACCCCGCGGTTACAATAACAGGAATTTGTGTTCGTCGCCGAGAAAGTCCGCGGTGGTCTCTCTTTTTTTTTCTCTCTCTCTCTCTCTCTCTTTCTCTCTTTTGAATTTTCGAACGTACAAAAACACGAAACGCAAAATAGGAACATCGCACTATTATCGTAGGATTATGCTTAGTATCGTATTTGCGGGAATTTGCGAGAAACTCATATCGATCGAATACGATGACGACCTCGTCGTATTGCAATTAAATAATGAGACTCGCGTGTCATTTATGCGTCGCAAAAGTGGGGTGAGGGGTGGGGGGGGGGGGGTGAGGAGAAAGCACACTTGATTACAGATCTATTGATGCTACTTGATGCACCTGTCACTAGCGAAATTAACGCACGTTGAATACATGTAGGTTTCTATACGTGCTTGCGGCCTCGACAGAGCCGCGTGATCCTTCGCAAGCTTTTTTTTCTCAATTAACCATTTGTGCATTTTAGGAACAGTTTTTTTCTTTTTTTTGTTACTTTAGAAAAATATAATTTGATGTCGATGCTAATAAATAGGATTGAGCTGATCAGCCAATTAATAAGTTAATTTTTTTATCTAAAGGTGAACGGCTCGATCTTTTTCGTTCGTGTTTAATTTTTAACTCCTAGTTCGCGACAATAAATAATGATTATATACCAATAGTAATTGAAATTTTCTGATTTATGCCACGCGGAACGATTATTTTATAAATAATGCGTTAGATTGATATATACGTATATAGGTATTAATACGCAATTAACGTATCTCAGCGGGAATAATCAAAGTAAATTAAATCATCCTACTATATAAAGAATGGACGGCGACACATAATACTACTCATCTTTGAAACATCTTTCAAACATCACATTTGCATGTCGCAAACTGCGACTCTTGGAATATCTATTTTAAATGTTTCTCTTACAGTCTCATGATAACGATTATGTTAGAACTTAAAAAATAAAAAAAAAGCTATTATAGCGAAAGATAGCCTCTTCCGATTAGAACTCAATTCTTCGAATAATCACAATAGTCAGGATTTTTCTCGCTAATCGCTGCCTCGCGAGTGATCGCAAAAATCGCGCAAGAATGTCAAGAATGGATTAGATCGCTCGTGGCACTTATCATGCACAAAGGTTCAGATCTTGCTCCGGATTATTAATTCTTGATAAATTAAGTGCAGCGTATGTGCAGTAAATTGCAAGCGCACTCGATGCAAGCTCAACGACGCTTAAGCTACTTATAGTGTTGGGCCTCGGATACATGCGCATGAATGCAGTTTTTGTATATGTAGTAGCTACGCCTATAAATATTTCCGACAAGATAATAAGTCTGCTAACGTGTGAAGTAAGAAAAGTATAAGTGAATAAAATGACATCAGCATAGGAAAATATTCAGTGATTACATCTGAAAATCATATCAGCATCGCCTATGCATTTACGCAATTTACGTATAAACATTGATCAAAATTATATATCACATTATTACGAGTAAAAATTAGATATATTAGTATAAAATATTCTTACAACCGCGCCAAAAAAATGCAATCACTTCTCGACAAAGTTCGATGACAGCAAACTTGTAAAAGTATAAAAATGTTCCGTAATAAAAAAGCGTTCAAGTAAATTTCAAGTATGTGCACATGTATCCAAATACTGTCAATTCACTTTGCGCCCATCACCGACTACTAGTCAGTTAAATATAACGCAGTGCCGCATTAGTTAGAATAAATAAATTATCGTGGCGTATCAAATCTCAAGGAGAAAATATCGCGGAAACATTAGCCGAAAGTAAAAATGTACATCTTTCGATAAATGCCGCGTTATGAATTCAAGTTCTTATTTTTTTTTTGTTTTTTTGTTTTTTTGATGCAGAGCTCATTCTGTCCAGATAATTGCTTATTGAAGAAAAGAAAGTCTGTATCTCGAAGCGTAAATCAGATAGTTTGCACTTTCTTCTGCCAACCTCCGTTAAGCCAATAACAAGTCACTTTCATAGAGCTCACAGCTCAGCCTAAAAAGAGCACTTTATCGATTTTTCTTTTATTCTATCGATTTTGTCACTACATAATTACTATACCTAGCAAGTGCCCTGATAAGAATTAACAAGAACACATCTGTTCTCGATCGTTAAATTTGTATTCTGCTTGCATAAAAATCATCACGCTGCAGTGAAAAGTTTATCTGAATGTCTGAAAAAAACCGAATAAACCAAAGATCCCAATCTTCTATTATATCATTTGAGATTTAAATGTAAATTATCATTAAACGTCTCGAAAAATTTTTACTTAACGCATTTTAGAAAAACAATAAAATTTTACCCTTCTAACTTACAGCAAATTTTTTATTTATGATCTTGGAATTTCTATCAGGAACGTCGATAGGTTGTCTTTCGCACACGCGATATTTCTTTCTTTTCTTTTTTTTCACGCGTGACGAAGAGAGGCGTTCACGAAGCCGGTATGAATTTTCTCATCAATTATCTGCTCAGAAATTCCGCCAAGTACAAGCTACTGTACTTCACTTTCCGTTTTCCTGTTATCTTTCTTATACGTCTTAATACAGTACATACCGCGCACACACACTCACGCTCATCGAAAATCAGTCGTATGTATACTTTTGCAATGTGATTGCCGTTACATATAATTATACGTGGATAGCACGAGACGTTATTGACCTGCCCGTTTACTTAGAGGATAACTTACTTCAGATACGCCATGATTTGAATAAATATCGTACTTAAATATTAGCGTGTGACTACTTCAGAAGCGAATATTCGTATCCTCGATACAGTTGCATTGGAAAAATTGCCGCTATTTACATCGAAAATTTCGCATTTTTGCCCCTCTCGCGCATACTAAAGTCTAGCTCTATCTTAAGCTTATATACTTTTGAAAAAGTACGCTCATAAAGGATCGACACGTCGACCGAGAACTGAATTTACATAAAAAATTATGTCGAATATATTGCGTTAAAAAATGCGGTTTCT